AAATCTCCAAAATTACCCACAACCACCACAATTTTTACTGAAAAGTATTCCCAGATTCCCCACTACACACTTGTTTTTCCCCATCTAGGCTTTCCATGTTGTTATACTCCTACCACCCATGGAGTGAAATCTTGGGCTTGGGAAGTGTGTCACTCAGACTCAAAAGAGTTTGTGAAGTGATTAATTGGTTAGGAGGGAGTTGAAACTCTGGCTGAAAAAAAATGTGAAGAAACACCTCACTGGTTCAGTTGTTACGAAAGCTGGGGTTGAGGGGTTGTGTGATATATATATATACACACAGTATATATGCATATACACACATATATATATTCTATAGATTTATAGGTATATGTGTGTACGGCTGTGTTTTTTCTCTAACCAGAGTGCTCCAGATAACTGTCTTTATGTTCTACTTGGCTTTGCAATGGATTGACACAATTTAAGATTCCTTGTCTCTTTAGGCTTTTAGGCTGCCTGAAGGTCACCAGCACTTCCACCATCTCCCACCCTTTGGCACTATAAGATGCTGTCCCTTGCCCTTGGGTTTTTCACCCCTTGGAGGCTGGTTTAGGTCCTTCGTGGTGTGTATTTGTCCGGATGAAAGTTCTATTAGTCAAGCAGAGCCACCTGAGCTTAAATCAGAATTCTGCGGGTTTAATGAGAGATGTGTTTAGAAATCTGTATGGCTCTGGGGAGCTTCTCAGCTCTCCCAAGCAAGGAGTTTTGAAAAACACCCTGAGCTCGCACCAAAAATTGAATGCTCACTGTGATGGAGAATCTTTCATTCTTTGATGTAATGGAGTCTCTTCATGAAATGAGGCTGTAGGGGCACGGTAGTGTGGGGATCGCAGCTCTGCTAAGGTTTCAAAGAAGAAACTGGAATATGATTAGTAAACACATTGGGCAGAAAAGAGCTGCATTCATGTTGACTTAGTTACAGGTCATCGGCTGGCAGTGCAATGGGAGGAAATATTTACTTTACACATATACTTTATGATCTTGGGGGAATTAGAGGAAATTCAATAAGAAAATGGCTAAAACATCTAAAACCCTTATTTAAAAGACTTAAGCAAATTAAAGTCTTATCAGATTAAAACCCACTACAAATGTAAGAGCATTGTCTTCAGTGAAACGCTGTGGGGTCTGAGGAGATTCTCCTCCAAATCTCAGGGATAAAATGCGTCATTTAAGCACCAGATAATGAACAGAATGTAAATTAATTTAACCTTCTTTACCAACAGGCTGCTGGTGTAATATGTATAACTTAGTGATAAGATTGCAGGACCCAATGTAGCTGGAAGCATGAGCCTCAGCCCATGCAGACCTGTCAGAGGGGGGTGTATTCTGCTGAGTAGGTGTGTGTACGCTTGGAATGGGGGTGAACTGGAACAAAAGGTTAAAATCAGAAATGCTGATTTAAAGCTTACTAAGAAGAAAGGCCCCCCCTTGGAGCTGAATTCTTCTTAAAGTAGGATGATACTTGTGTGGAGAGACTGAAGAACAATTCTCATTTGGTTCCTCTGACTGCTCTCAAGCATGTTTAAAATGGGGGAGGAGCTGCAGAGAGGATTTGGGGTGGGAGCAGGGCAAAGGAGAGACACATAGGTTACAAACATGTTTGTAGTCCGTTTCATCTACTCTGCCGCAGACTGAGTAAGTTTCCCAATCTTGTGAACAAGGGCAAGGAGGGAATTCTCTGAAGATACCCCATACTGGTGTTGCAAATCATTGACTGTAACGTCAAACAAATACACAGTCAGGGATGATAACACTAACTCCACAATAAAGCAATCGGCCAATGCAGAGCCCAGGGGAGATTAGTTTGTGCTCCCCAGCTGACCCAAGCCAGAGGACAAAGGGACTTTCAAAAATTATTTTAAATAATATGTCTGGATTCCTTTCTTTAACCTCTGTGGAAATTAAATTTATGTGGAAATAGTGCTACAAAGAGTTGGATGTCCCCAAAGGTGTTCTATTTCCTTTGTTTATATAAATGAATACGGTTGGTTTTGCCTTTCCTGGCCCAGTGTTCTAAGCTTGTGCCCTTCGCTCACACCCTACTGCCTCTGCCTGCTTGGACTTTAACAATTCAAGACAGCCTAGAGCTTCCTAGGGGGGGACAAAAATTATCCTTGAAATTGGTTATTTGGCAACATTCTTAATTGTATGGAAACTCATTAAAGCATAGTTTATATATAATTAGCTCAAGGCTGTTGATTCTACAAGCTTTATGGATTTCAATCTGATTGATAATAAAGTAAACACGAGAGTCGAATTTAAAGCTCGGCTCTCTCTCTGGTTAGGACGAGCTTAATACAGTGTACGAGGAATTTGAAAGATCTAGGATATGTGTCTTAATCAACGTTAAGTAGAATGGATAAGCTTTCAGCATTTTGAAAATGCTGGGTTAGGGTTTCTATTCTATTGTGTGTTTTCTGTCTGGGGACTAATAAGCATTACAGAGAACGTGATCTGAGGCGACTTTTTATTCTTGTATAAATCCAGAGTGAACCACCAAACAGTTGTTCGTTGAAAGTCAAGGTAATTTTCTTTTGACGGGTCCATTTGCTTCTCGATTTCTAATTTATTAGCCTGCCTTCTAAGGGATATGTCTTTTTTTTGCAATTAAAATAAAGCTTCTTCAGATTGGCGCAGCATTCACCTGACAGGCTGTTTGGGAAATCTAAGATCGGAGAGGTGATCAGTTGGTGTTTTTTAAATATTTCTGGTTTTAAGTAGCATGTCTCCTTTCCATACAGGAGAAAAACACCTCGGGAGTGAAAATGGATGTAGTGAGACACAAAAAGAAGGGCGGGGGGGGGGTGGCTTGTTGATCCGTGTACCTTCCAGCTCCTTTCTCCCCGAGCTTTTTACTCCCACCTCATCCTTCCACCTCTCCGCCCGAACAAAAAGCCGATCGTGTTTAGTCGGGTTGGAGCCAGCGGGTGTAGACTCTGCGGGCGCAGTGAGGTATTGGCCCAGCCCACTTAGCTGATAGGTGCAAGCAGCACTGTCCCTCCGCCGCAGCTCGCGGCCTCCTGATTGGGTCAGAGCCACGTCACTCCGGCCGCAAGAAGGGTCTGGGAGGAGGCGGAGGCGGGAGGGTTGGGGAGGGCTGTGGCCAAATGACGTCTCGGCACCAGGAAGCCCGCCTCTGGTTTTAAGATGTTAGGCCAACAGGGAAGCGAGGAGCCGCAGTGCTGGTCCTTCGCTGGCCCAGGTGCCGGGAGCTGAGCTGCGGCGAGGCCGGGCTCCCCGAGCTTTTTACTCCCACCTCATCCTTCCACCTCTCCGCCCGAACAAAAAGCCGTGTTTAGTCGGGTTGGAGCCAGCGGGTGTAGACTCTGCGGGCGCAGTGAGGTATTGGCCCAGCCCACTTAGCTGATAGGTGCAAGCAGCACTGTCCCTCCGCCACAGCTCGCGGCCTCCTGATTGGGTCAGAGCCACGTCACTCCGGCCGCAAGAAGGGTCTGGGAGGAGGCGGAGGCGGGAGGGTTGGGGAGGGCTGTGGCCAAATGACGTCTCGGCACCAGGAAGCCCGCCTCTGGTTTTAAGATGTTAGGCCAACAGGGAAGCGAGGAGCCGCAGTGCTGGTCCTTCGCTGGCCCAGGTGCCGGGAGCTGAGCTGCGGCGAGGCCGGGCTCCAGCTGCTACCTGTCCCTGTCACTCTTGACACTTCGCTGTCAGGGCTGCGCGCGGGGGGCGGGCAGAGCGCGCTCCGTGTTAGCTTTCCTTATTGGAGGGGTCCTCGGGAGAGGGAGGGGGTGAAGAAAGGGGTCTTTGCCCACTCTCGTTTCGCTTTGGAACTTGCAAGCCGGCTCCCCAAAGACGCTCGGAGCTGTACCCTCCCGACCTCGTTCGCATGGCTCCGTTGGCCCGCTGACATTCGGCCGCCGGAACCTTTCGCTTAAGCCTGCCGAAGGAGACGGGGCGGCGAGGCTGGAGCGCT